AAGCAAAGCCACCAGCATCGAAGCGATGGTCCTCCACCATTAACTCCGCTGGACTAGCCACGTTGTCCGGATGCCCGACCACCGTCTCCCAAAGCAGTTGCTCTTCTCTGAACTCAAGAATGGAAAACGGAATGCTGGTGTACAGGAAAAGAGATTGAAAGACGGGCTCAAAGCCAACCTGAAAAACTCTGGCATAGACACTGAGAACTGGGAAGTCCTGACCTTTGAGTGCTCCAGCTGGAGGTCAGCTGTGACCAGCAGTGCTGCAGAATTTGAAGCGGCACAAATGGAGGGCAAAAGATAGAAACGTGCCAAGAGGAAGGTGCGTCAAGCCATCCCTGACCGGGACCACCTTCCACCTGGAAACCAATGCCCTCACTGTGGGAGAAGATGCAGATCAAGAATACGGACCCATCAGAACACTGATCCTGGAAGACTATCCTACTCGGCCAACAAGGGATCGCCTAAGTAAGTAAGTACTTGCAAATCTATTGGAGCGTCCTGCCAGCCCAATCTGATAACCCCAGATGCACCTCCTCTGTAGAAATAATACAGTTTGACGCCACTTTAACTGCCAAGGCTATGGAATCCTGGGATTTCTAGTTTGGTGAGCTACCAGCTTTATTTGGCAGAAAAGGCTAAAAAGGCCTTGTAAAACTGCATCTCCCATGACTTCATTACATTGGCCACGGCAGTTTGAGTGGTGTCAAACTGCTTTAATTCTAAAGTGTAGACGTACTCTAAGTTGCCCAACCTGAATTGCTTGGACAACCTGTGAAGCCAGTATCACCTGCTCTTCCCTATTTTAAGTGTTCAGAGACATCCTTCCAAAAATTGGGTTGGCTGGCTTATTGAACTCTATGTCAGCATGGGACCCAATATGTCTTACAAAGGAAACAAATTAGCTCAAATTAAACAAATTAGCAGTCTACCCCCCTGTTTAAGGAGCTCTATTGTCTGCCGTTTCTTTTCTGGTCCCAATTCAAGGTGTAGGTTATCACCTACAAAGCCCTGAATGGTTTAGGATCCGCATACCTTCGTGACCGCATTTCCTTCTACGAGCCTGCACGATCTGTTCGATCTTCAGGAGAGGTCTTCCTCTCGCTTCCACCTCTGTCACAAGTATGGCTTGTGGGGACGAGGGAGAGGGCCTTCTCCGTGGTGGCCTCTCAGCTCTGGGACTCGTTATGCAGGGAGATCAGGCAAGCACCCACCCTAGCAGTTTTTAGGAAAAACTTGGCTTTTCTGGTGTGCTTTTGAGGTATGAACAACAAATCCCCATACCTTGTCCATCCCAGTACAAATATGTCCTTTGATGCACTTTATCTCATCCCTCCGTGAAGATTAACCCCATTTTTTTCCCACCTGAATCTTCCTCTTGATACTCTACCCTATTTAACTATCTTGGTAAAGGTAGTCCCCTGACATTAAGTCCAGTCATGTCTGACTCTGGGGTGTGGTGCTCATCTCCATTTCTAAGCCGAAGAGCCAGCGTTGTCCGTAGACACCTCCAAGGTCATGTGGCCGGCATGACTGCATGGAGCGCCGTTACCTTCCCACTGGAGTGGTACCTATTGATCTACTCACATTTGCATGTTTTCGAACTGCTAGGTTGGCAGAAGCTAGGGCTGACAGCGGAAGCTCACACCGCTCCCCGGAATCGAACCTGCGACCTTTCGATCAACAAGCTCAGCAGCTCAGTGCTTTAACCCACTGCACCACTATCTTACCCAGGGGTTTTATAAATGTATCCCTTGCATTTGGCCCAGTCCGCTGTGTTTAATCCTTTTATTACTTTATATTTTGTGTTTATTTTATTGTATTATTTTGTTATTGTTTAGCATTTTATTTGACATTATGCATTTTATTTGATGTTATTGTCCGTGTATGTATTTATTTTGCCTTATTGTTATTTTTGGGCTTGGCCTCATGTTAGCCGCCCCAAGTCCCTTCGGGGAGATGGTGGCAGGGTATAAATAAAGTTTACTATTATTATTATTATTTGAAACACAACAAGATGAGTCCACATGCTGGCTGTTGTACTGGATCACACGTCGGCCATCAGTGGTGTCATCTGCATATCTAAGGTTGTTAATGTTTCTTCTAGCAATTTTCACCCCAGCCTTGCATTCCTCAAGCCCCCCACATCGCATGATGTGTTCTGCATATTATTATTATTATTATTATTATTATTATTATTATTACTAGCTGTCCCCTGCCACGCGTTGCTGTGGCCCAATCTGATGATCTGGAAAATAAAGTAACGAGAAAGTGTTGGTTTCTAATATATGTAATTCCTTTATGCTTGTGAGTAAACAGTATTTCTTGTTGTTTCTTTGTCAGTGTTGATGTGCAGAGTGTCTGGTTTGCCTACTCTGGAACATGCAACATATCATTGTCTTTCTTGAAGGGTCTCTTTCAAATCTATGATACTATACCTGTGTGTGTGTGTGTGTGTGTGAGAATCATATCTATCTATCTATATTTATGACTGGATGGCTCTTTGTCAGGAGGGCTCTGATTACATTTTCTTGCCCTGGTGAAGAGAGTTGGACTGGATGGCCTTAAGTATTTTCTGTTGGTCATGGGGGTTCTGTGTGGGAAGTTTGCCCCCGATTCTCTCATTTGTGGGTTTCAGAATGCTCTTTAATTGTAGTGAACTATAAATCCCAAATGTCAAGGTCTATTTCCTCCAAACTCCATCTGTGTTCATATTTGGGCATATGGAATATTTGTGTCAAGTTTGGTCCAGATCCATCATTGTTTGAGTCCACAGTGCTCTCTGGATGTAGGTGAACTACAACTCCCAAACTCAATGTCAATGCCCACCAAACCCTTCCAGTGTTTTCTGTTGGTCATGGGAGTCCTGTATGCCATGTTTGGTTCAATTCCATCATTGGTGGAGTTCAGAATGCTCTTTGATTGTAGGTGAACTATAAATCCCAGCAACTACAACTCCCAAATGTCAAGGTCTATTTCCCTTAAACTCCATCTGTGTTCATATTTGGGCATATGTGCCAAGTTTGGTCCAGATCCATCATTGTTTGAGTCCAGAGTGCTCTCTGGATGTGGGTGAACTATAATTCCCAATCTCAAGGCTAATGTCCACCAAACCATTCCAGTTTTTTCTGTTGGTCATGGGAGCCCTGTGTGCTAAGTTTGGCCCAATTCCATCATTAGTGGAGTTCAGAATGCTCTTTTATTATTTATTTATTTATTTATTTGGGGTTCTTTTACCCCGCCCTTCTCACCCTGAAGGGGACTCAGGGCGGCTTACAAAGCAAAGGCACAATTTGATGCCTGCATCATAAAACAATCATACACAAAATTACATCAATACACAGTTAACAACAATTTATGCATTATAACCATAAAATCAATAAAATCAATAAAACCAAATACAAACCCAATTTCTCCTCTTACATGGTCAGCGTTCGCTACTCATAGATCTAGTTTTACGTTCCACTTCATCAATCCTGCTGGTCTTACTCGCCTGGTTGTCTGATTTAATTGCCGGAGTGCCCAAAGGCCTGGTCCCATAACCAAGTCTTCACCCTTCTCCTAAAGGCGAGGAGGGATGATGATGCCCTGATTTCCCCCGGGAGTGAGTTCCACAGGTGAGGGGCCACCACTGAGAAAGCCCTGCTCCTCGTCCCCACCAGCCTCACTTGTGACAGTGGTGGGGTCGATAGCAGGGCCTCCCCAGATGATCTCAGACTCCGAGGTGGGACGTAGAGGGAGATACGTTCGGACAGATACACTGGACCGGAACCATACAGGGTTTTGTAGGTCAAAACCAGCACCTTGAATTGTGCTCGGAACTGAATCGGCAGCCAGTGGAGCTGGCACAGCAGGGGGTGGTGTGCTCCCTGTATGACGCTCCGGTGAGCAATCTGGCTGCCGCTCGCTGGACTAGTTGAAGTTTCCGAACAGTTTTCAAGGGCAACCCCACGTAGAGAGAGTTGCAGTAGTCTATTCGGTATGTAACAATAAGCTGCTTTAAACCAGTTCCATGAATACATCCTTTTGCATAATAATAATAATAATAATAATAATAATAATAATAATAATAATTCCTACTTTGATTGTAGGTAAACTATAAATCCCAGCAACAATTCCCAAATGACAAAATCATTTTTTTTGAGTGGAGGACATAACTTGGACTGTTAGGTGTCTTGTGTCCAAATTTGGTGTCAATTCCCCCAGTGGTTTTTGAGTTCTGATGGTAGCACGAACTAACATTACATTTTTATTTATATAGATTGGTTGTTGTTCATTCGTTCAGTCGTCTCCGACTCTTCGTGACCTCATGGACCAGCCAACGCCAGAGCTCCCTGTCGGCCGTCACCACCCCCAGCTCCTTCAAGGTCAGTCCAGTCACTTCAAGGATGCCATCCATCCATCTTGCCCTTGGTCGGCCCCTCTTCCTTTTACCTTCCACTTTCCCCAGCATCATTGTCTTCTCTAGGCTTTCCTGTCTCCTCATGATGTGGCCAAAGTACTTCAACTTTGTCTCTAGTATCCTTCCCTCCAGTGAAGGATATATATTTATTTATATAGATTATTATTATTATTAAGCAGCTAAGGGGGGAAAGGAAGGGGGCTGAGGCTGTTAGGAATTGTGGGAGTTGAAATCCAAAACACCTGGAGGGCCCAAGTTGGCCCAAGCATGGTCTAGCTACTCCAAAACAGTGAGGAGGGATACTATCGGCACTTAGGCCTGAATCTCTGAATGGAGAAAAGTAGTGGCAGCTGATGGCCAGTGAGGCCTATTGTGAAGCAACAGTTAGAGGAGGAGAGGAAGGCAGTTCCATTGCCTGAGGGAGGTGGGCGGGGCTTGTGGGCCCAGGCTAGATCTATAGGGAGAGCAGGCCAGGCTTTGGTCAAAGGGGAAACTTCAGCCAAGGGAGGTTGGTTTGTTGTGGGTCTGGTTGGGCCTTCTGTCTCTGGGTGCCTTGTGTGTTCTCGCCTTTCTCCCCACTAACATTTTGTTTCTCCCTTTGCAGAAAATGAGTGAATTCCACCCTGACCTCAGCCCACTCAAGGAGCCCCTGGGTTTCATCAAGGTTATTGAGTGGGTGAGTCTCTTGGTACAGTGGTTTCTCTGGCTGAGATATTTGGCCAAGGCAAACCCTTCAAAAGGAAAGGCCTCAAAGGAGCTACTAGGCCGCAAATGTGTTTCCTAGGGAACCAAGCTTCCCTTTGCCAGCAGGACTCTCTTGCTAGGCCTGGACTAAGCCTCCCCCTTGCTTGGTGTGGAGTGCCTTCAAAATAAGGACATTACAGGCAGACTCTGAGTTACAAACATCTGACTTTCGTACAACTCATAGTTAAGAATGGGGTGAGACAACAGGAAGTGAGAGAAATTTACTCCTTGGAAGGGAAATTCCCTCCTGAAAGAGTTAGCTATCATTATGGGGGAAATGTATCTCAGCTGAATCTTCAGCACCAATCCTTGTTTACACAACAAACCAAATTTGTCAAAATCCAATTATTACCAGGATGGAAAGTGAGGTGAAATCTACTGAACAGACAGCAAAAGCAACACCACAGGGGGGTTAACCCTTTCCTATGCTGTCAAAGCTTCTGTCTGCCAGAGGTGATCTACTCACATTTGCATATTTTTGAACTGCTAGGTCGGCAGAAGCTAAGGCTGACAGCGGAAGCTCACGCCGCTCCCCGGAATCAGACCTGTCTTTCCTTCCTTCCTTTCCTTCTGTCCTTTCTTTCCTTCTTTTTTTTTGTTTCCTTTTCTTTTTTTAGGAGCCCCCGGTGGCACAGTGGGTTAAAGCGCTGAGCTGCTGAGCTTGTTGACCAAAAGGTCGCAGGTTTGATTCCGGGGAGCTGCGTGAGCTTCCGCTGTCAGCCTTAGCTTCTGCCGACCTAGCAGTTCAAAAACATGCAAATGTGAGTAGATCAATAGGTACCGCTCTGGCGGGAAGGTAATGGCGCTCCATGCAGTCATGCCGGCCACATGACCTTGGAGGTGTCTACGGACAATGCTGGCTCTTCGGCTTAGAAATGGAGATGAGCACCACACCCCAGAGTCAGACATGACTGGACTTAATGTCAGGGGACAATCTTTACCTTTACCTTTCTTTCTTTCTTTTTGCAGTTACCTGTTCCAACTTACATACAAATTCAACTTAAGAACAAACCTACAGAACCTGTTCATAACTTGGAGACTGCCTGTGTTTATAATATCCAGAACCGAATATTTCTGGGTTATTGTAGGTTTTTCGGGCTATATGGCCATGTTCTAGAAGCATTATCTCCAGATATTTCACCTGCATCTATGGCAGGCATCCCCAGAGGTTGTGAAGTCTGGTTTCAGGAGAGAATGCTTCTAGAACAGGGGTAGGGAACCTTTGGCCCTCCAGCTGTGGTGGACTTCAACTCCCACAATTCCTTGAGGCTCGGCATTGGGCCAAGGTAAGCCTTTGGGGCGAATGCCGAGCCTCAAGGAATTGTGGGAGTTGAAGTCCACCACAGCTGGAGGGCCAAAGGTTCCCTACCCCTGTTCTAGAACATGGCCATATAGCCCGAAAAACCTACAACAACTCAGTGATTGTAATCATGGAAGCCTTCGACAATACATTGAATATTTCTGGTTTATGCCTTCCTATGCACTAGTGCATAATGAATCTTGGCTGTTAACCCTTCCGTATGCTATTCAAAGCTTATATATATATAGTTGGCTGGAGTTACACTTCAAAAATGTACCTGTTCAGACTTAACACACAAATTCAACTTCAGAACAAACATACAGAAGCTATCTTGTTCGTAACTTGGGGACTACCTGTAACTCAATTGTGGTTTCATTTTCTTAATCACTTAAGCATATATGTTTTAGTCAACAGTACTAAATGATAAAAAAACTGGGGGTTTTTTTGGTCCTGTAGAATTAAAACCAATATGTAAGATTGGTAAAACCACAGTCAAAAGTTCTTGCTGCCCCTGAGCTTCTTGGGAGCTACTAAAGGTTTTGCATTTTATGTATTTTATTTTCTGGTTTTATGTTTTTGTGTTATATTGTGTGTATTGTACTGATGGGCATGGCCTCATGTAAGCCGCACTGAGTCCTCCTGAGGGAGATGGAGCGGGATATAAATAAAGTATTATTATTATTATAAAGCAGTTTTGTCTCCTGACAAACAGGGTTCTTCCCCAATACCAGTATAAAGTTCACATAAATTGGGATAAATGAGCTTTGTACTGGTATAAATCACTAACAGGATTCTAGTCTAGATGGCCATTTACCTGTTTCATTGCTCTATCTCAAACTTAAAAGCTAAAGTAAAGTCTGAAAATCGGGTGTCTCCCAGTGCATAAATCTACTTGCTGTCTGTTACGTTTCTTTAAGAAAAGGACACAAACACAGATTTATAGCAGAATGCCTGTTGCGAGAGCAAGTCTGTTAAAATGGGTAATATGATACTCCCTGTGTGTTGCACAGTTTTCCAGGCAGATGAAAATGTATATACTAATTGGTTTATTTCTATGTAGTTCTTTTCTATGTTTGCATTTGCTGCATGTGGAGGCTATAAAGGTGCAACAACAATACTAGTGTCCTGTGTAGGACTTGTCAACAGAACGGCAACAGCTACTTTTGCCTATCCTTTCAGGTGAGCCTTTAGTACATTTGCATATAAATCTAGTCAGCCATCACTGTTAACTAGCATCCCACTTGGTCAAGTCATTTTCGGTAATTCTGAAGATTATTCCACATTCCTCAGTTGAGTGGGTTAGTTTTTCTTGAGCAGTTAATCTATTAATGTATTAGCAATTTTAAACACAATAAATAGTTAATTTTCTCAAAAGGCCTAGCAGAATAATTCTACAAATCACAGTCTGGAGACTATTAACTGACTAATGTATAGAAGATGAACTGACTAATGTATAGAAGATATTCCAGAATATCAAGGTAGAATTAGACCCAGCGGAGCCATTGTCCCCACTTCCCCCTTCTCTTTATTGTAGCTATATATGATGCTTGTAGTAATACTTGAACATTGTTGTTTTTTAGGTTGAACAAAGTTATATTTAGTTCACCAGATCCTACCCGCTGCAATGGCACTTGGGCTGATTTCCACCTCGTGGGCAATTTCTCTACCTCTGCACAGTTCTTTGTGACATGGGCGGTCTTGATATTCTTGTACTGCATGGCTGCCCTTCTGCTGTACCTTGGTTATATGCACATATATCGGAGCGGGGGCATTCTGCCAATTATAGTAAGTTTCTACAATTAAGACCTGATGGAAAGGAGATCTGACCTGGCTTAAAATTAAGCCAACCAATACTTAGGGGGTTAGCAGTAAACTTCATAAATCAAGACTTTTTGGCATCTATGCCTAGTGACATCATTAAAAGTATACAAGAGTTTAAGTAATCTTACATGCCTTTATGAAGATGCATGCTTTTGGAAACATTCACATTTCCAATTGATAGAGATTATGAAACATAAAAGTAAGTTCAGCTATTATGGTACAAGGAGCAGTTAAGCTATATTTATTTTGACATGAAGATAAGTATGATACTAGTTAAACTTTTGGAATCCTTTAATGCAAGGATAAATGCTTAGAGACTGGCGTAATGCATCTGGATCTGTGGGGAAAAAATTTGGGCAATAGTCATTAGATCTGGATTGGAGAGACTTGAGTTCAGACCTACCTTCAGCCATGAAATCAAACCCTCCTGAGACCTCTTCTGCACTGCCATATAATCCAGATTATCAAAGCAGATAATCCACATTATCTGCTTTGTACTGGATTATCTGGTTCTACACTGCCATATAATCCAGTTCAAAGCAGATAATCTGGATTTTATATGGCAGTGTAGGACCCTTTTAACACTGTCATATAATCCAGAATATCAAGGCAGATAATCCGGATTATCTGCTTTGAACTGCTTTATTTGAGACTACACTGCCATATAATCCAATTCAAAGCAGATGTTTGTTTATTTATTTCCTTCATTTCTACCCTGCTCTTCTCCCACAAGGGGGCTCGGGGCGGCTTTATATAAGCATCAGTGATGCTGTCAACATATACATTCAATTAAAAACACAAAAGCTTGATTAAAACATTATAAAAACCATAAAAAATTCATTTAATATATAATAATAATAATCATTATTATTATTATTATTATTATTATTTAAGATAATGAGGAGCCCCCTCATTATGGAGGGAGGAACATATGACCTCATCAGGCAGACCCCAGTGGTGCAGTGGGTTAAACCCCTGTGCCGGCAGGACTGAAGACCGACAGGTCGCAGGTTCGAATCCGGGGAGAGGCGGATGAGCTCCCTCTATCAGCTCCAGCTCCTCGTACAGGGACATGAGAGAAGCCTCCCACAAGGATGATAAAAACATCAAATCATCCAGGCGTTCCCCGGGCAACGTCCTTGCAGACAACCAATTCTCTCACACCAGAAGCGACTTGCAGTTTCTCAAGTCGCTCCTGACATGACAAAACAAAACAAAAAATTAAGATAGTCTGGATTTTAAACGGCTCTGTAGAAGGGGCTTGAATAACTAGCAAGCAGTTCTTCCTGCCTCTTCAGGTTTATTTTGAGCCAAAATTTGGGGTGGAAAAAAATATATACCACACTGAGTTTACTGAAGGTAGATCAGGAAAGAAATGGAAGAAATTAATAATTCTCCTTTGGGCAATCATCTGCTTTATCAAGTAGCAAACTACTGAAAGTTCAAAACATGTTAAAATTATGCTGAATTTCTCTCTGGGTTTCTAGTTGGAAGACACCTGAATGAGTCCAAAGATAATATATTTGCAATTAAAAGTTTTTGAAAGTCAAGGAAGAGTAGTACATATCAAACTTTTTAGAACGATTTTATTCTTAGGCTATATAGTATGATGGATAAAGAGTTTGCCTCTCAAAGTTTTCTGAAATTAAAAACTCTGTAAAAACATCCTCAGTATTATAGCTTCACAGATATATTGGAGATTTGTATTCTTGCAAAGGAGGGCCCTTCTACACTGCCACATAATCCAGAATATCAAGGCAGATAATCCACATTATCTTCTTTGAACTAGATTATCTGAGTCTACACTGCCATATATTCCAGCTCAAAGCAGATAATCTGGATTTTATACAACTGTGAAGAAGGGGCTTGAGTCTGCCACATGAGGGAAAATTTCTAGGATAATGTTAGGAGGAAAGACAATAATAAATGTGTGAACAACCATAGCCCAGCTGCCAGATCATAGAGAAAAATGACCTTCGAGCCATTGAATTCATTAGAATGTAATCTTTATATAGTTTAGTCCATCATTGTACTAATTGTGGTGTTTTCGCAAATACTTATAATTTATGATGCGAGATAGTTGTAATTTTGGGGATATATTACTACTTTGAGATTTTTGACATTAAGTAATTTGTGATTTCAATAAGATTGTTAACTACTCTGAGCTCTTACAAGAAAAGGGAGGGTATGAATCAATTTGATTATGATTAATAGTGCAACAAGGATAATTATCTTATAAAAATATTATTTATGCAGATCACAGAAGCAATTCACTTTAGTTCTATATCCTACAGATGAATAGAGCTCAATATTAATTAAGATGGCAATAAAACATTCAGTGATAAAAACAGAAAAAATGAATTAGTCTTCATTTTAGTAGCCCAAGTGATAGTAAATTGTTAACAGCTTTCATTCTGAAAACTTTGCCTTGTGCTGAGCAATTAGTAGCTTTACTCTCTCCACAGGATTATCTCTTCAGTCTCGCGGCTGTCTTCATGTGGCTGGTCAGTACTGCTGCCTGGGGAAAGGCCCTTGCTGACATCAAAATTTCAACGGGTCCTCGTATCATAGAAGAAATCGTTGCTTGCAAACTACCAGGTTCCTCCTGTGTATTTGGTTCTGTTAGCACTATGGGAAGCCTGAATGTCTCTGTGGTATGTATGTTAGAAATTTGGGTGCTATCATATTGTGTTATTGTTATAGATTGATAAGATGTAGAACATGTGGCCAGTTCACAAATGATTCAGGAGATCTGGGAATAGAACCTCTTGCAGGGCCCTTCCACACAGCCATATAACCCAGAATATCAAGGCAGAAAATAATAACAATAATAATAATAAATAATAATAAACTTTATTTCTACCCCTCCACCATCTCCTCAAGGGGACTCGGGGCTGCTTACATGAGGCCAAGCCCAACAATACAACAATACAAATAAACAACATACAACGACAGTAAAATATAAAATACAAAATAAAATACAAAAAAAAATACGGTATATACTTGAGTATAAGCTGACCCGAATATAAGCCGAGGCACCTAATTTTACCACAAAAAACTGGGAAAATGTATTGACTCGAATATAAGCCGAGGATGGGAAATTTAGCAGCTACTGATCAATTTCAAAATAAAACTAGATACCAATAAAATTACATTAATTGAGGAACCAGTAGGTTAAATGTTTTTGAATATTTACATAACACTGTAATGTAAGACTGTCCAACTTTGACGAAACCATTATCCTTCAATGTAAATGTGCTTACTCATCCTTCCAATAATAATAAGGAGAGCAAAATAATAAATTTAATAACAATAATAGAGTAAAATAATAAATATAATAAAAATAATAGAGTTAAATAATGTAAATGTAATAATATCAATAATAATAGAGTAAATAATAAATGTAATAAAAATAATAATAGAGTAATAATAGAGTAAAATAATGTAAATGTAATAATATCAATAATAAGAGTAAATAATAAATGTAATAAAAATAATAATAGAGTAATAATATAAATATAATAAAAATAATAGAGTAAAATAATGTAAATGTAATAATATCAATAATAATAGAGTAAATAATAAATGTAATAAAATAATAATAGAGTAATAACATAAATATAATAAAAATAATACTAATAACAGAGTAAAACAATAAATAACTTTGGCTCAAGTATAAGCCGAGGGGAGCTTTTTCAGCCTAAAAAAGGGGCTGAAAAACTAGGCTTATACTCGAGTATATACAGTATATAGATAAACACCAACAATATAAAATCACAATAATTTAAACACAAGAAAATAAATCACAGTGGGCAGGGCTGACAACAGGATTAAAATCCCACAATATCTGCTTTGAACTGGGTTCTTTGAGTCCACACTGCCATATAACCCAGTTCAAAGCAGATAATGTGGGATTGTATTCATCTGTGTGGAAGGAGCGAAAGTAAGTTTTGGAATATGATCTGAAATCATTTCTGTAGACACCTTGCCTAGTAGGACAAATACCAAAGAGGAAAAAAAATTCCTCGTGGACAGAGAGGAAATGGTCTTTGCAGCCATGTGTTTATAGAGGTCTGTTTTGGAATTCAAAAGCATTTAATGAATCAAATACCATATGGGCAGATGTGGAAGAGTGTGGAGATTCCTCTGGTGGACAGCAAGATAGTAAACATATTCAAAATGGCAGAAATTGATAAATTAACAATGTTGATAAGACATCAATCGATAACACAAGCCAGACAAAAATGCTTCTTGGGGCCCTTCCACACAGCCCTATATCCCAAAATATCAAGGCAGAAATTATCTGAGTGTGGACTCAGATTATTGATTATTGATTGATTTATTTTATTTACTGTATTTATATTCTGCCCGTCTCGCCCCGTAGAGGACTCAGAGCAGATTACAATGTACATATACATGGCAAACATTCAATGCCATAGACACACAACATATATAGACAGACACTCAGAGGCTATTTAACATTCCAGCTTTTTCATGAGGGTATTCTGGCCACCAGGGGAGCTGTCACTTCACCGTCCATTTGTGACACTGATGAAGTACTTCCTCATTCTTTGCATGCTTGCTGGAGATTTTTATGGCCTCATAAATTAGTTCAATTAGCCTGCCCGCACCTAAATTTCCTACTTGACAGATGCAACTGTCTTTTGGGTTGCAAAGGTCGACAGCATGCTACACAAATTGGTCAGAAGCTTACTCCAACCCAGGCTAGCTTTGAACTCATGACCTTTCGGTCAATAGTGATCTTAATGCAGCTGACTCCCAGCCAGCTGCGTCACAGTCACGGTAACCCAGTTTAAAGCAGATATTGCTGGATTTTCTGGCTTGATATTCTGGGATATAGGGCTGTGTGGAAGGGCCCTTGGTGTCTTGTTTTTAGGCCTGTTCCTGGGTTATTTGAGCGTTGATACAGAAAATTGCATTGAATAGACAGCATCAGCTCTAGATTCCTAGATATGTTTATCATAGTTTTATGTAGTCCCCCCAGGGGTGAGAAAGGCTGTATATAAATACTGTAAATAAATAAATAAATAAATAAATAAATGTGGGCAAGCAGATTGGTGACTGGTAGATAGTATACGTTCTGTATTTCAAAAACTCGAGCTGATAGAGGAAAACTGGTGCCATTTTTGGAATTAGCAGGTCTAATATAACCAGAAACAGGACTAATATTTGAGACACTAAAATGTGTAATCATTTAAGATATAGGACGTGGGACCAATTAACCAAATAGGACAAATACTGAAGAGGGAAAAAATCACTATTATTTACTTACTGTATTTGTATACCGCCTTTCTCAGCCTTTCGACAACTCAAGGCAGTTTACAGGCAGCAAATCGATACACATAATATCAAAATACAAATAAAAACATTGAATTACAATATAAAAACACAACAGAAACAATAAAAACCAACATCATTAGTGTCTCCTTGTTAAAACATTGTCCAATTCCATCGTCTAGTCATTCCATTTGCTATGTCAGTTACTCTCCATTTGTAAACGCTTGCTCAAACAACCATATCTTAACTTTCCTCAGAAATGTTAAAAGGGAGGGAGCCTATCTGATATCCATATCCGAGGGGCCACCACTGAGAAGGCCCTGTCCCTCATACCCGCCAACGTTACTTGTGATGAAGGCGGGATCGAGAGCAGGGCCTCCTCAGACGATCTTAAGGTCCTAGATGGTTGATAAAACAGGAATAATCTGATGCTGAGGAAAACGGTCTCTCCAACTTCCCAAAAATTATAGCCATGCAGAGACAAGGTTGGTGTCAATATTTTTGATTGTGTAAGAGAATGCATAGCTTTCCCAGGCTTGTGTGTTCTTCACTCATAACGTTTCCCATTTTGAGCTCAGCCATGGATTGCTTGGCCACTGGTAAAAAGGTATAATCTACCCCAATTTTGCCAGCAGGAATTGTCACTCTGCTAGCATTAAGATTAAGCTGTAATAGTAATTAGGATTGAATCTACAGTCATGTTGTAATGAATCTGTTAACAGTGCCACAAAACTCTTGTCAATATAACTTTTGTGTGTGTGTCCAAAGAAACATTCTCTGTTTAATAGCCCTCCGAAAAGGAAGAGTAATGCATAATATTAATACATAGGGGAATTAATATATTAGATTAATACATAGGGAAATACATAAGATAAATACATAGGGAAAGTGTGCTTGAATAATAATAATATATAATAATAAATAATAAAACTTTATTTGTACCCTGCTACCATCTCCCCAAGGGACTCGGTGCAGCTTAGATGAGTCTTTAAGAGGATCCTGAAAACGTGGTTGTTCCAGTGTGCCTTCCCCGAATAAGGAACCCTAAGCAACATGTCCCAAATCGCACTTTACTAATGATCTAGGATTGTCTGCTTGCTCGATTTCTCTCCAAATACCCATCCTAGTTATGTCACCTTGTCATGCCCAGTATTTTAAAATGTTTAATTATTACCTTTGGCCCTGCCATAGGTTTTTAATGTGTAGTGGTGTTACTGTTATTGTTTATTGCTTTGTTTGTGAGTTTTTATTGTCTGTATTGCTGTGTTGTTTTTATTGATGTATTTGGGCTCGGCCTCTTGTAAGCTGCACCGAGTCCTCCGGGAGATGGTAGCGGGGTATAAATAAAGGTTTATTATTATTATTATTATTATTATTATTATTATTATTATTAGATGAGGCCAAGCCCACAATACATCAATAAACAAAACAATAAATAAACAAAAGCAATAACAAAACAATCAATACAATACAATTCATATAAATCACATAAACAAAAAAATAAACAATCAACAGTGACACACAAGCTTTTAAAACCAATGGCTGGGCCAAATGTAATAGATTAAAATTAAAAAATAATGCTAAATCAGTGGTAAAGTGCATTTTGAGGGCATATTGCTGAGAGTTTTCCTTATTCTGGGAAGGCACACCGGAACAACCACGTTTTCAGGTTCCTCCTAAAGACTTGGGGCATGTCTGATGTCCCTGGGAAGTGAGTTCCAGAGTCGGGGGGCCACCACCGAGAAAGCCCTCTCCCTTGTCCCCACCAATTGCGCCTGTGAAGGAGGTGGGAGCGTGAGCAGGGCCTCTCCAGATGATCGAAGAGATCGTGTGGGTTCGTACACAGAAATGCGGTCACGCAGATAGGCGGGTCCTAAACCGTTCAGGGCTTTGTAGGTAAAAACCTGCACCTTGAATTGAGACCGGAAAATGAATGGCAGCCAGTGGAGCTCCTTAAACAGAATCTCTTTAATAGGGAAGAGGCTTGGAGCATATTGTTTTTTCCTCCATTGTAAAATTGCCACATATTAACGCACACATTGTGTTTTTAACTTTCAGGTTTTTGGATTGCTAAATGTTATTATGTGGGGAGGAAATGCTTGGTTTGTTTACAAGGAGACAACTTTCCATAAACCAAATAATTCCCCAAGCCATGGGCTCTATCCGCCGGCGTCAGGAATTTAAGAGCTTCACACCAAAGCGGTTTCGTTGTATCCTGTTGCCAAGATCTTGAACACCCTGCATTTCAAAGTATCTCAGTAGTAACTCATTTTCAAATCTATAAAACTTCAGTACCCATCCCCCGAATAGTAAAAACTAGGAAACTTTGGAAGGGGTAGCTAATACTCTGTTGGATAGTCTAATATTCAATCAAACCTACTTGTGCTTTGTTAAAATCTAAACTAGATTCTCTTCAGGGAAGAGCATTTTTTGTACTGGTAGTAAATGTTTGTTCCTGTACCACATCTTGTAATACTAACTAGTCCTCTTCTAAACTTCTAATCAACTTGTAATTTGATTATTACTACGTTGTTATTACATTGTTGTACATTCTACTGCGAATGCCATAACTCTTTGCTTACATAGGGTTGATTTTCCGATTTCAGTGTAGTTGTTTAATGTTCTGGAAAAGAAAGTAACTCTTGAACAAAAGTTGAAATTTACATAAGAACTTGAGGGAGCTCCCGTGAATGTTTGTGGTGGTTACCAAGGTCCATTTTAAGTCACAGGATCCCTAGTGATGACATGTTTGAAACCGAATAGCTGTAGATGCTTGCTTAAGTAAGATAAAAATCCAAACAATATTAGATGTAAAAACATGGCAACACTTTTGAGGAATTGATTGTATTTTTGAGGAAGTGACTGTGCTTCGGTTGAACCAATAAAGAGGTTTCTAAGAACCTTGCTTTTTGTGTTCAGTATAGTATAATTTATTTATTTATTCATTTCACAGTTTTCTATACCGAGCTTCTCAACCTCATTGAGGGACTCAGCCCGGTTTCCAGCCATAAAAACATATACACTCATTAAAATATCATATATCACAATTACAAAAACAACTTTAAAAACACTATATATAAAACTACAGTGGTCAGTCGTCCTATTAAGATGGATCTACATCAACTTCCATCCAGGGTCCTATGGTGTTGTCTCATTCATCGAAGGCCTGACTCCACAGCCATGTCTTCACCCGTTTCCTAAATGTTAGGATGGATGGGGCGGTTCTGGCCTCCAGAGGGAGAGAGTTCCAGAGTCGCGGGGCCACCACCGAGAAGGCCCTGTCCCTCGTCCCCACCAGCCGCGCTTGCGAGGCTGGTGGGACTGAGAGCAGGGCCTCTCCAGATGATCTTAGTAATCTTGATGGTTCGTAGGGGAGAATACGTTCGGAGAGGTAAACAGGGCCGGAGTCGTTTAGGGCTTTATAGGTCAACACCAGCACTTTGAATTGTGCTCGGAAGCTAATTGGCAGCCAGTGGAGCTGGCGTAACAGCGGAGTGGTGTGCTCCCTGTACCCAGCCCCCGTTAGTAATCTGGCTGCCGCGCGTTGGACTTGCTGCAGCTTCCGGGCAGTCTTCAAAGGCAACCCCACGTAGAGAGCGTTGCAGTAATCTAAGCGGGATGTAACCAAAGCGTGTACTACCGTGGCCAAGTCAGCCCTCCCAAGGTACGGACGCAGCTGGCGCACAAGTTTTAATTGTGCGAATGCTCCCCTGACCACCGCTATGACCTGGGGTTCCAGGCTCAGCGATGAATCCAGGAGAACTCCCAGACTGCGTACCTGAGCTTTCAGGGGGAGTGTGACCCCGTCCAGCACAGGCTGTAACCCCGTACCCTGTTCGGTCTTACGACTGACGAGGAGTACATCTGTATAACAGGTGCAATTGCCTTAAACAACTTTACGTTGTCATTAACTTTTACCCTAAGGTTATCAGTTTCATTTTCTGGTAGACCACTTCATCCCTTCAGTTATGTCAAGACCCAGAAGCCTTAATGACTCCAAACACGATGTAAAAGGTCCAAACACAAGTTTATTTGTTACAAAAAAGGCTTGGAGACACTTACTTGAGTGTCTCAAGCAAGAACTAAGAGTTTGTAACAAACGCAAAGCGAAAAAAAGCAACTTAAATATAATCCTGATTATTCTGGCATATAATCCGGTATAACAGAAACATGTAGCAATCCACTTGAAATTCACAGTGTCCAAAGAGCATACAAAAACAAGTTGGCAAAGAGCAAAAACAGTGTCCAAAGGCAGTCCGTAGTCCAAACACGTTCCAAGCAAGTTGTGATAGTCCAAAACACGTAGCCGTTGTCAAACATGATCCGGAGTCAAAAACGAGAGAGTAGAAGTCGTCACTTACGGAGTTTCAAGAAGTAAACACAGGAACACGGAGATCTGTAGTCCAAGGACCCAAACTTGAGAATTGTGGCAGTAACAAAGAATCACACACGAAAAGACACTTTGCCTTCTGCAAAGACCCATTGAAACAAAACCCACTTATATCCTAAAGTTCCTCATCAGAAGATGAGGTGCTCCCCACCCTTTCATCATCGCTCTCAGCTGCCCCATTCCCTGCAGCTGAACCCAGCCCAGGGGCGGCTCGTCCATTACGCGAAGTAAGCGGTCACAGAACACTTTTTTTTGCCAGGGGCGCAGAGGCGCCTCTGTAAATGCCCCTCGACCGCCACTTGAGGAGCGCCCCCTCAGCTCACAACAGCCCTAGCAGTCCGGGGGGAGCCTCGACTTTCTTGCCTCGCTGCCGGGCGATCCTCTTCCCAAAGGGGCTGGGCCCTTGAGCCTCGCCTAGCCCCTCTCGTTCCTGTTCCACCCGGCCACCGGGTGTGCGAGCAGAGCCGGCGCTCAATCGTTCTCCGCGTTTGATCCCTTCTCCATGACCGGCTCCCTTTCCCGATCCCCCGGCGCTCCACCCGCCTCCTCTCCTTTCTCCAATCCGCGGGTGGGCCAAGGGGTGGAGCCGCCGCGCCTGGACCTCTTCAGGTCTGGAGGCGTGTCTGAAGACCCCAGCGTGCGCACCAAAAGTCGCCTCTTCTCCTGACTTTCTCTTCAGCCATTGGGACCGAGAGAGAGAGAGAGAGCCCCTCCGGCTGGAGGTATCTCCCACCTCCGCTCCCTCCTTTGTTTTTGCGCCTACCTTCAGGAAAGGTGGGCATCTCCACCTCTCTCTCTCTCTCTCTCTCTCTCTCGGTCCTAATGGCTGAGGAGAAAGTCAGGAGAAGAGGTGACTTTTGGTGCACACGCCGGGGTCTTCAGGCACGCCTCCGGACCCAAAGCGGGCCAGGCAAGGGAGCAAGTGCGGCAAGTGTAGTTACTGGGATGTATAGTTCACCTACAATCAAAGAGCATTCTGAACTCCACCAATGATGGAATTGAACCAAATATGGCACACAGAACTCCCATGACGAACAGAAAATATATATCAATGATTGGTTGGGGTGGGGGGCGCCAAAATACTGTTTGCTTACCATTGAAAATTACCTAGGGCTGCAGCTGAACCCAGACCCCCATCCCTCCATCTTTGCCAGCAGGTCTGTCAAGACTTAGATTTTGCCAAGTGCTCCCCGGTTGCCACTCTTCTGTAAACCCCTCAAAGTCATCGCTGGAGGTAGGCTGGGTACAGATATCCCTAATCTCCTGTACGCAAGTCCAATCAAGCTCATCCTCCTCCCCCATGTCACTCTCAGTCCCATCACTCCCTTCAAAACCCATGAAGTCTTCATCTTCTGTAGGAGCGCTAAGTATATCACAGATACGCTTCCTTTGAATCTCCTCGTCAGATTCTTGTTCGTGAGTAGCCCGCTTGACTCCCCTGCTTTCCTCTCCATCCCCCATTTCACAGTCGGAGAAACCCTCGAAGGTTTCGGAATCAATCGGGGCCATGATTATCTCTCTAATCCGCTTTTGCTGCTGCTCCTCTTCCAACACCTGCGCAGCCCTCTTCTCCCTCCTACCAGTAGTAGCAACGTTACCATCACGCTGTACTACAACTACAGTTTAATTAATATATTTTCACTGCTGTCACAGGGTTTCATAAATAGATTCATGATAAAATACATTTCTCATACTGAGCAACCCTCTGGAACCAAATTGTTCTAATAGGAGTGGAACGTGCTGTAAAAGCCTTACTGTGTAAGGATTGCATTATATATAGATAACCAATGTCTTTATGGTTACTATCACATCCCTCTATGTGAATGCTTAAGTCCTCCATTGCAATCTGCTAGAAATATACAGTTGCATTGGTAGAAGCTTAGGGCGCATTTAAGTACTAGCTTAGGTACCCAGTGCTGCTGGGTTTGTAATGCTATTTATTTAAAAAAATCATGACTTGTTTTTGAATTTTATTAATGGTGCCATTAGAAAATGTGTAAGGATATGGGTAAATTACCACTCCCATCATTCCAGGTCCATTACTCCGCAAACATTGCCAAAATTTAAAGTTGGTCATGAGGAGTATATGTGCCAAGTTTGGTCCAGATTCATCGTCAGTGAGGTTCACAGTAGTCTGGATGTGAGTGAACTACATCTCACATAATTCTAAGTGAATCCCTCACAACCCCAGCAGTACTTAAAGTTAGTTATGAGTGATATGTGTGACAAGTTTGGCCCACATCCTTCATCAATGGCATTCACAGTGGTCTTTGGAAGTTCTTTGATGTGTGATGAACTGCAATTCCCGTCATCCAGGGTCAATTCCCCCCCCCCCCGACCCCACCCCTCTAGTATTTTTTTTGTTGGTCATATGTGCAAAATTTGGTCCAGATACATTTTTTGTAGGAGTCACAAAAATGTATCTGGAAGTGGGAGTCATCTTGGAAAATGCATGCATATATACATATTTTTTTACTTACACATACAGATATGTAGGTGGGTAGCCATATGTTCTTTCAGTGGCTTACTAAACCAAAAATGCAGTGTATTGATGACTCCCAAAGCAGTTGCTCTACTCTGAGCTCAAGAACGGAAAACAATTTTGGAGGAAAGGAAAAGAGATTTAAAGATGGACTCAAAGCCAACCTTAAAAACTGTGTCATAGACACAGATAATTGGAAAGCCCTGGCCCTTGAGCGCTCCAGTTGGAGGTCAGCTGTGACCAGCAGTGCTGTAGAATTTGAAGAGGTACGAATGAAGGGCAAAAGAGAGAAATGTGCCAAGAGGAAGGCGCATCAAGCCAACCCAGACCGGGACAGTCTTCCATCTGGAAACCAATGCCCTCACTGCAGGAGAACATGCAGGTCAAGAATAGGGGTCCACAGTCACCTACGTACCCACCACCAGTACACTGAACTTGGAAGACTATCTTACTCGGTCAATGAGGGATCGCCAAAGTAAGTAAAGTAAGTAAGTATAATGATGCACCAATTAAAATATAACATACAGTAACCTTTGCACAAAAACACACAACTCACTTTAAAATAATTATTTCATGATATGGCCAACATAGAGTTCGACAAGACCACATGGGCCCTCTAGTTCAACCCCCTGTAATGCAGGAAAAGCACATTCAAAGTACCCCTTTGTGGAGGCTGTTCTTGCAGATGTATTCCAAGCAGTTTCAGCATCTGGACAGTTCATATGCAACAGCTGAATACGTTTCTAAAAATTATTTTTGAATAGCCTGCTGGTTTGGAGTGCTGTTATCATTTACAAGCACCTCACTATGTGATGTCTGCAGTGCTGTCTGGAATTTACAATAGCCTGTTAAGGCAGTCGTGGCATCATTTTAAAAGGATCTCACTGCTTTTATGCAATGTGTTTTACATAAAGCCCATATTTCTATCAGATGTATATAATCAGGACTGGCACTT